CCCCTATGCTGCGAATTTCGAAATGATGCTTATCACTTGAACAGTTATAAAATTGACTTGGGAACATGAGTCAAGCAATGCTCTGCCTTGTTTATACGCCCCTGATGAATCTCGCACTAGTACCTTTGCAGTAGCAAGAATTATTTGTCCACCTGGCGATTGATTCATATGCGAGTGCGTTGCAGCAGGAGTCGTTGTTGAGGACATTTGCGCTATGGATGATGGCGATGTAGACGATGGTGATGCAGGCGGTTGGCCAAAATGCAGAAGCGTGTGATGGCGATGCTTGCAGCTTCGACAACGATTGTTAGACTGACACTGAGCCATCCGATGCAAAGTCCAACATTTTTTACGACTCCGTACTTGAGTTTAGGACTCATGTCTTGAAACTGAGAACATTGTACAATTTTATGGTCGGAGCTGGAACAAACAATGTATGTTGGATTAGTAATAGCAAATGATAATCTCTTGCTACACGTGTTTTTGTTTCGAAGAATCAGCCATTCGATACGATGCAATGCCGCTTGATTGCAGAAACTGAAAATGACGTTCCAAAATAGTTGTGCAGTGCGCCCAATTTGGCAATGTACGTAAGTCAAAAGACTCATTCCACTTGTTACGAGTTTGTTGGTCACATTTTCCGATGACGATGAATATGAACATGGCTTGGGCAATATCTGATCCGGTACCCAATGACGATAATGATGAATACAGGGCTGACGCATTGTCCAGCAGACTGCGCAGCTGATTTCCGTCCGGTTTGTCGACTGGCTGTAGATTTAATAGTGATTCTATTGTGTCTAAAAATGTAAGTGTAGGATTGTCATAACGTTCACTTAAACGAGCAAGAGCCTTGGGATAATTTTCCTGAGTCACTTGGAATGCCTTTACTGCCTGTAGGGCAGGGCCCTTCAAGCAATTCAGCAGATGATTAAACTTTTCAATGTTCGAAAGAGAGTACTCACGACCGATAATCTGATTGAATGATGTAATAAAGTTTTTAAACTCTGCTCGTTTCCTATCAAATACAGGCGGAGCCAATCGAGGAAGACTCGATGGCGGCGAAGAGCGAATTGGAGCAGGGTTAGAAAATGAGGTGCTGTGCAGTACATCATCCAGTTGGGATTGGATGGACAATTTGATACTTACATATGTGTCTTCCACCTCTGCACGTCCATTGTCCTGAGGATCTACCAATTCAATTTCAGATTGTACTTCCAAAAATTTTTTAATGTATATCTCCAACATGTCCAAACGTAATTGTAGCTCACCGTGTGATAATCTTTTTTCACTGCCATCGACCTCAGTAGACACTCTTACAACATCCTCTAAGTATGCGATATTCCGTTTTATGTTCGCTCGCTTACGTAAGTTTGCTTCAAGAGTTGACATTATGTTTCGAGAATGTTGTGATCACCGATGTGACCGAGCGACAGTTTTGATACTGGCAAATTTTCACAGCCTAACTTTAACCTGATAATGTCGCTCTCACCAATGTGAGCGAGCGACAGTTCAAACAGCTAAGACTTGTATATGTTGCGCTCACCGATGTGAGGGTCGCTTGCAGTGATGAAGCAAAATGCAGTGAACAAGCAGAGGCAGCGAGCTTCCAGTGACGAAGCAACAGTAACGAGAATGTAACAGCAAAGCGAAGGTAGCGAGTTTCCAGCGACGAAGCAACGGCAACGAGAAAGGAGATGTGAGGCAAAGGCAATGAGCAATCAAACTCAGAGCGTATCCAGCGCAAAGTAACGGTTACAAGAATGCAGTAGCGAAGCAAAGGTAGCGAGTTTCCAGCGACGAAGCAACGGCAACGAGAAAGGAGAGCTGGCCAAATGTTGCTGTCGATGCTGTATTTTGCGAGGAGTTCGATAAAACCTTTTCCCAACGAAATGTTGTGCGGCAACGATATGCCGTCAACACGACTGACTTCTATGATGATGCTTACAGAACTAATTTCTTAACATAAATTAAGATTAAAGGGACCGAGCAAATACAGAGTTCGAAAAAGAGCGAGGCTTCGTACATGTGTATGAGTGCTTATGACATTCAAATAGAAGAGAATTAGCATAATCTTAACATAATCTGCTTTGACATTGCTATTGATGCCCTGACTAATGTATATAAGAGGTATATGACCGAACAGACCTTATTAACTTAATGCCTACAAGACTAAACAAATCAAATATATTAATAAACTGTAAAATGCACATATACTTAATTCCTAAGATATCATATTACTTCTTTTGTTTGTTTGTTTTTTTTTTTTTTTTTTTGTTTGTATGAACACATAATTCGATTTTTTTTATTTTCGTTACTTTTTATAAGTACAACAATATAAAAACATGTAAGAGGTTCTAGTCGGGAGCTCCCGACTTTGAAATACCCTGAACCCTCTTATTCCAACACCGAGTGCAGTTCGCGCAACGCGCTCGTTTGAAGTAATAAAGATAAATTTAAAAAAATAAGCCAAAAAGACCGGCACGACGAAGATCTAATACCCTTGCACACCCAACCGTTTCATCATGCTTATATTGTTTTATAAGAAGCACAGGGAAAATATTTAGTGCCAAGTTTGGTCAAGATATCTTGATAAAAAGGTTTTTAACAAATATCTAGTTTTGCACCGATCGTTCCTATGGTGATGTAAATAAGATTTTGTAACAACGAAGGGAGCATAGTGAAATTTTAAAATGCCGTGTTTAATCAAGACACTAGTTCGCAAAGAAACAGACAGACGGACAGGCGGACTTTGCCATATCGACTCGGCTGTTGATGCTGATCAAGAATATATATACTTTAGGGGGTCGGAGATGTCTCCTTCTATGCGTTACGACTAAATTATAATACCCTCGGCAAGGGTATAAAAACAGTTAGCCCGGTAGGGTTCGAGCTTGCGACAGACCGCACCACTTGCATCACGTCTACTCAACAGCCACACCAATAATTAAGAATTATTGAGAAAAAACACAGAAAACAATCGTAATTACAATGCTGTTGATAGAATTCGAAGCAGACGCTCATTAATGTGTGTGTGTACATGTATACCGAAATTCTTGAAGTATTCGCTAGCTGGTGGGCAATATAAGTTGGGTTATTAACTTTATTTATAGCCCTGAGGTGGTAGCGGGAAGATGGCGATAGGTATAAGATGAAAGATACTTAATATATATGTAATATCCTATAAGCAACATATCAAGTTTGGTGACTCTCGCTCTTAAAGTTTTCAATTCGCTCAAATGACCGGATGTCGGATGTCGATTTTTAATCGATTGCGTGGAAACGGAGTTAGTTATCGATTATCGGAAACAGATTCGATCTGCGCAGGCACTAGAAGGACCTACAGCTAACATTTTCTTTAGATCTTATGGGTTCTGATATCCTATACGAACAGACGGACGGACGGACAGACGAACAGACGGACATGGTTAGATCGACTTGGCTATTGATGCTGATCAAAAATATATGTATTTTATAGGGTCGGAGATGACTTCTTCTGCCTGTCACACACATTTGCTCAAATACATAATATCCTTTTTACCCATTTCAATGGGTTCAGAGTGTAATAAAGTTCCTTTTGTGTTACATACATTTTTTTAATAAATTGTCGATGCACATATACTTATTTCCCTGATGTAAAGTTCCTTGGTTTTTGGTTCAGCGAGAATGTAGCGGCGAATCAAAGGCAGCGAGAATAAAGCAATGTCATTTTTCACGGGTGCAGAGAAGACAATGCAGGTGGCCAAATATTAGTGTTGATCCTGTAATTGAAGAGTTCGACGAAACCGATATGCTTACGAGCATTGCGAAGTGTATGCAACAACTCCACAAAATGTCCTTTTATAAATTTACGCACACCCTAGCGCCAAAATGATGGATCAAATCCATTTCTTGATCTTCAAAAATATAATTTCAAGTAGGCGGAACTGGCTGGTGTAAAGTTTTTGTTTAAATGCTTGGTTGATAATGCGTACAGAACTGATTTATTAGCATAACCTAATATTAAAAGGTTGCAGCTGATTTTGCCTCATTCAGAAGGAGGCCAGCTGTCTGACCTGGGGACATATACAAAAGCTTCTTGTAGTTAAAACCTAATTTCGTCCGAAAACAAGCGACATAAATCAACCAGAAAAATTAACTGCTTCGAGGAATGTCGACAAATGATGTTGCTAAGCCCAATTAGACATCCTTTCATTCATAATTTGCCCTTACTGACTGCCGGATAACTGCAAGCCTGGTATCAATTGAATTACTCACGAGCTCTAATTTTCTGCTTGTTGACTACAAAAGCTGAATTTACGCCATCCGGAGGGTGTCAAGCATCGTTGCCTATCTGAAATCAATATTGAAACGACAAAAAATATTCCAGTCGATGGACTACTCCATGATGCAAATATCCCCAGCAAGTGGCTGAAAGAATCTTTTCTCCAGTATTTTTTCCATTAAAAGTTGATTATGCACTGTGGTGTTTATACCCAATGTAGGCAAAGCCTCTTTTGCAAGCCATCATTGGTTTATGTGTTCATTGTGACAACCATGAAGAGGGTACTTATTTCCCATTTTAGAAGCACTATGGTGTAGTCTTCTCAAGCTCACTCAAAGAAAACACGGATCCACTGAAACAGTTTGCAAGCTATCTCTTCGTCAATGCAAACAAGTGAGAGAGTAGCACGCAAAGTTATGGACGCTTCAAAATATTTAATCCCCCCAACATCCCTTCCATACTCCCATTCTGTCCAGGGAAGAATTAAATTTTTACGTCTTACACGTCAAAGTAACAAAAAAAGTGGGAGAAGTATATGCATTTATTCCGATGGCCAAGCAGCTATTAAGTCTCAGCAAGTGCCACCAGTAAGCTGCAGCAACACGAAGGATAAGCTGCCCTCGACTATCGTGTTAACCCTACTTATACACGAACATGTCTATGCCTCCTGCTTACATTCCCAACAAATTTTATAAATTCGAAATTGTTAAGACTACAATAACATTTTCTTTCTTACCTCACGTTGCAGCTTACGGCGCTCAACTTTCAGTTCAGCCTCTGCCTTTTCGGCTGCTTCTGCCGTGCTTTTATAACGTATAACTTGTGTTTCAGATCGTGCTAAGTTAGCTTGGAGACTAGCGATTTCCTGTTCAGCTTTTTGTAGTTTATATTTATAATCTGATATGATTTTATTTGATTCTCCTGTGAAAAGCATATTACGATAAATTTAAGCTATATTTTTACTTTATTTAAGACTTACTTTGAACCTCATAGTCATCATCGTACCTTAAAGAGCCACACAACGAACTTCCGCGTCCAACTCTACCTTCACTTTTAAATGCACCTAACTGTTCATGAAGCTTTTGTATTTCATTCAGAAGTCTCTGATTTTCCTCTGCAAACTTTTTGAGTCTAACATCTGAAAAGACAGTTTTTAATCATAGCTTTTTATGTTTACTTAGTCATACCAAAGACAATATAAACACTAAGATGAGTAACGCCCATACATTTGAATGCGACGCGAAATTTCTAGTCTGGCCTTTCATCTGGCCTTTGAGGCTTCGTACGGCATGCCTGCCGACTAGTTGTTCGTTCTCCAAAGACCAGACGAACGAATGCCGAAGTCGTGGCTTGCTGATGCTGACACGAGTTACGAAGTTAGTCGCCAGCCTGCCTTCAGCAAAGCAGGTCGATGATGCTTTGCGTCGCTTCGTTTTCGAAGTACATTGAACGAAAATATTTAGAACTTACGATCAACGCAAAGTGCTTGTGCTTTATTCATGAAAAATGATAAATGATATATTACCCTAGATATTAACGATTAATTTTACAGGAAAATTTAAGAACTTATATAATTTTTACACAAGGCGCTTCTTGCGCAATAACTATGCTAAGAAAATAGCATACATAGATTGATTTCACTTTTCTTTTTGGACAGTGTATGCTCGAGAAAAGGGCTTGTCTTAGCCAATAGCGTGAGTGCACCTTTGGTTGTATGCGTGAATTATACATGCATAAGAACTTTAAAGTGTGTATGTATGTGTTGTTATTAACTGCTCTGGCTTTAGCTGGCAAGAAATTAATTTTGTTAGTTTTCTAGCGCAGATCCTGATCTATCCTAAATTTGTGTTGATATATGAATGAATTTTGTGTACTGAGGTTGGCTCCGCAGAAAATATGTATTTCTAGTCGATGCAAATATTTACATCATTTCTTTAAATTTAATTAATATTATTTTAATTCTCCAATTAAGAAGAAAAAGAGTGCTAAAAAATACAATTACATTTCAAGTCGACTCGAAGGTCATATTAGGCTTTGACCATATTATAATTATAATGGCCACCTCGCGGTGTTCCCTGGGTACCGATTTTGCATCGGTAGCTGATTCGAGCGACGACTTTGTTCTTTATAATTCGAACAAAAAATAATAAAATAAAAATTAATTAAATGTATCTTTGAAAACAACAAATTTGCCCTTTTATTTCCTTAATTTATTTAATTAATATTTTGAATATAAAAAATTACATAACTATTTGTATCGACTTAAAAATACATATTTTGTACGGAGCCAACCTCTGTACACAAAATGCATTCATATATCAATAGAAATTTTTGGTAAGTCGTGATCTGCGCTAAACACCTAAGAAAATTGTTTCTTTGCCAGCCAGAGACTTTGCCAGAGCAGTGGATAACAACACATTCAAATATGCTGTTATGTATGTATATTCAAACGCATACAAACATAATTGCTTGCACGGCCCTCAAGAGAGCAAATTCTATTTTTAGCTTTTTGTTTCTCGGATGTAAGAGCGCAATGCTACACATTTCGTTTTCGTTCTCAATTTTCAAAAAGTCAAGCTGCATAGTAGCATTTTGTTGTATGGCGTTACTCATCTTAGTGTTTATATTGTCTTTGGTCATACTTACCAAGAGAACCCTGTACGGTTGACAAAATATTGGCGTTTTCAACACTCACTAGAGCCCGTTTAGCGTCACTGCCATCACTATTCTCAATGGAAACAATAATAAGACCGTGCTCTTCTATTAGTGCATCTCGCTCGCATAACTGGCCTTGCACTAGGCTTAATTCCAGTGTTGTGCGTTCCAAGTTGCGTTTGAGGGTATTGCAATCGCGAAGTTTGTTTTTGAATTCCCGCTGCAGTTGCGCGAAAGATTCCTCCATTGTTTCACTTTTATCTTTGAGTAGCTTCACTTCATAGGTTTGAGATGAGCGGTCGTTGTCTAGTTGGGCATTCGTTATCATAGCCTTTCGAAACCGTTCTTCGACTTCCTGAAATAAAAAAAAACCAAATTAGAACATAACTGGTGGACAGTTTTAATACAGAGTTAAATTACAAATACACTTAAAAAAAAACGAGGAAACAGAATATTTTGCCATATAAGATCCTACTTTTACACCGATCTTTCCTATCGCAGCTATATTATATATGTTAGGAGCATATTGTAACGCATAGCAGACATCGCCGACCCCCTAAAGTATATTAATTCTTGATCAGCATCAACAGCCGAGACGAAAAAGTGATGTTCGTCTGTCTGTATCTCTGCAAACTATTCTCTAAGTTTTAAAGCTGTCGCATGAAACTTTGTAAAAGTCCCTCTTTCTGTTGCACACAGTACATATGCCGGAACCGGCCGGATCGGACGACTATATCCTATAGCTGCATCGGGCGAAAATTAGGATCTTGTATGAAAAACTTTTTTATTTATCTAGATATCTTATTCGGTATTTAGTGTTTGAATGTGCGTCTCATATATATACACAACCCTATCAACATCGGACCTCTATATCATATGGCTCCCATAGGAACGATCGGTCGAAAACTAAGTTTTCAAAATATATGAAGCAAACTCGTCATTGCTAGTTTTTACTATGCTTGCTAAATTTATGGAAAATCTTCTTTACATCGGACCACTATATCATACTTCTCTTACAAAGAACTTTATTTTTTTAAAGATATCTTAATCATACTCGGAATTCACTATTTTCTCTGTGCTTCTTATATACGGGCAAAGCGTTATGAGCAATATGAAAAGGTTGGGTCTGCAAGGGTAAATCGGCGTGCCAAGGATAGCACTTCTTCCTTGTTATATTTGAAGCCGGTTATCGGACCTAGACTATATATAGACTATAATCTTGCTGGTTGGTTTGTAAAATACGTAAAAGAAAACTACAAGCGGAATGGTTAATATAAGGCACAGTTAATTTGACTACATTTTAGAGATTAAGGTGTAAAACTACTTGTATAGGGACGCTGAAGGTTATTTTTTTAATCAGCACACCCGTTATTATTGTAGATAGAAAAATCATACAAGGAAAATTTTACGATGTTTTGAAGATTACTAAAGTATGATGATAACCACTGAACATCTGGATTCTAGTTTAATCCACCATGAGCGAATGACAAGCATTGTTACAGTACAGAATCTATTCTGTATTTATGAAACTAATGAATTGGACAAACAATATAAACAAAAGTTCCTAAATTACTGAAAACGGTCGTTACGTAGAATTCAAATTAAAATACGGAACGATATTTAGGCTATAAACATTATTACCTGTGCTATTAACTAAGGCTGCAAAACAAAATTATTATCGGTGGTTCACGGTTCGAACTAACATCACGTCAAATCTCGGTTTTCTTTAATTTTTTATTAAACATTATTTCCAAATTTACTTCCTTTACGCAGCTCTTCGGCTAGCTCTCATTGCGGGCAGACGTCAGTTTTCTTATCAGCTCTCTCTCTTATCTGTGATCTTATCTGTGTATTTCCTTGCGAACCACGCGGTCAATCATTAATTGTTTTTTCTCACATTCTTTCCCGAGTGCAGTTAAGTTTTTGCTCTCATACCTAAACCTTTATTTATCCAACTATGGGGCGTCCCCCTCCGGCCACAAACCTGAGGGGCAATCAGTTTGCGTTGCTCTATGATAGCCTCCAGTGAAAAAGAAAAGAGACAAAAAGTCGACATGACATTCCCCGAACTGCCAACAATATCTCCCGAAAACCCCACGTACATTGTAATCGCATCCAAAAACAACGAGAAAAAAATCTCAGATTTCTCTTGTATTGCCGTTTACAACGCATTACGTCTAATATCTAAAAACATCACCTCCATCACCAGCTTGCGTGACGGCAACTTACTGATGCTAGTTAAAAATCAAAGCGAGGCCGACAAATTCATCAACTCACCTTCGTTACCGGGCATTTACGACATCACATGCAACATGCATGCAACTCTAAGCCAAGTTAAAGGCACAATATACGCTCCATATCTCTCCGATATCCCCAACGATGAAATCATAGATGAGCTGAGATCCCAAAAAGTCAGTGATATCTTCAAATTCACCAAAACCACGGACACAGGCACTAAACCCTCTGGAGTAATTCTGCTCACTTTTGATCTATAACACCTTCCCAGCAAAATTGATATTGCATAGCATGCGGTTAAGATACGGGAGTACATACCAAACCCAATGAGGTGCAAATCTTGCCAGCTGCTAGGCCATACAGCCAAACACTGCGAAATCAAACCACGTTGTGTGAATTGCGCTTTACCTCCCCATTCGCCGGACACCTGCACACAATCGAAATGCTTTAACTGCTTAGAAGAACACCCATCCTCCTCGCCAATGTCCCAAATGTCAGCAGCAGAGAAATACTGAATATCAAGACTACAAAAAATGAACAATGCGCGAAGACAAACTACTGTTCAATGGAAAAACAACTAAGCAATCCAATTCTACGCTGCAGTAGCGAATGCGGGACACTATAGTAACTCAAAAACATCCTAACAAAACAAAAACAACAACACTAGTCCAAATCACAACAAACCAACCAAAGATAACACAATGCCTGATGTTAATAAAGAGACAACAACAACAACACCACTGAACACCTCCTCCACGCTGACCTATTAGCAAAATCAACAGAAAAATAACACAAACGGAACATTAGATGATGACTACGAGAGTCTTGGCCTCTCGCCCAAAACTACTCAAATCCTAAAACGACTTAAGTCCAACAAAAATAAAAAGATTTATAATTCAAACCTCCCAACTACTTCTACCAATTTAAAAGAAAATGAATATGTCAACATATCAGATGATCCTATGGATGATTCTGATATATAAACTGAACTTAACTTTTTCCATTGCATATATTATCCATTTTATCTCTTCCAATGACCCTTAAGATTTTACAATGGAACATAAACGGATACTTCAACAATTACATTGAACTTTCATTATTAATTAAACAAACAAACAAACAATCCAGATATTATATGCCTACAAGAGACTAATCTTAAATTTAATAATTCTTAAGTTGCAACCCCCAAACCATTTATTGGTTATTTTTTCAACAATTCTTTCATTATCTATGCGAAGCATGGCGTTGGTATACTTATAAGGCAAAACATCCCACACAAAACTATCAATTTGATCTCACCCACTTGCTCCATGGGCAGCTTTTATCCCACCCGAATATAATAATATTCAATTCTTATATACCCCCAACCAAAGACTATTAGCTACAGATTTAATAAATATTATAGAGTCAGTCCAAAAACCTATAGTTTTTGTAGGGGACTTTAACGCTTGGAGTTCGCTTTGGGGGTCCTGTTCCCAGAACCTCAAAGGTTATTAAATTGCAGATTTTATAGTCAAAGCAAACTGAGCCATTCTAAATGACGGCTCTGCCACCCACCATTCTACCCACAACTCCTTTACTAACATCGACCTAAGTATGGCGTCCGCAACCGTGGTACCATTCTGTGAATGGTCCATTGGCCAAAACTTACACGGGAGCGATCATTTCCCTATTACTATTAACCTTCGCACACATATTAAACCTGAAAAATTTCCGCTTTCAATTAGGTTCAAAACCGACCATGCCAACTGGAGTACCTTCCAATCTGTCTGCAAAAATCACTTTCAGTTTCCTTCGGCCAACGATCTGAAGCTCTTCGCTGCCAGAATTTCGAAAACCATAAAAACAGCAGCCAAGGTAGCCATTCCACAAACTAATACCAAAAAACAGATAATGTACCCTGCTTGGTTTAGCAGTCAAGTCAAGTCTCCAAGATCTGAGAAAACAAAAGCAAGTTCTTTGACACATCTATAAATCTTCTCAAAACTGTACCAATCTAGTAGCTTACAAAGAAGCAAGAGCCCTGTTTAAAAGAGAAGCTATTAGGGCAAAACGAGAATCTTTTAGCAGTTTCATCTCTAAAATAAACCCACTTTCCACAACCAAAAAAAATATGGGCAGATATCAACAAATTAGTAGGGATTTTCCCAGGGCCTTTTAAATCCATTAGAGATATTAATGTAGAGCTCCAAAATTCAGTAGACATTGGCAATGCATTTGGAGCTATGTGGTCCAATTATTCCAGGGATGAAAACTTCTCAAATGCGTATAAAGTTAATAAGGAAAACGTTCTCTCTCAGGCATATCTGCCCAAACACATATCCTCAAATGCTAAGTACCTTGAATCTCAGTTCACAATGATGGAAATAGAATTAGCCCTTCATCACGCTAAAGGGAAAACTCCTGGGTATGACCGCATCTCGTACAATATGGTTCGAAACTTACCAATAGAAGGAAAGAAAAGAATACTAGAAATGTACAACATAATGTAAGATGGGGGTAATTATCCGCACGCGTGGAAAACGGCTACAACTATCCCAATCCTTAAACCAAACAAACCTTCCCACGAATTATCATCCTTTTCGTCCCATATCCCTACTCTCCTGCTTAAGCAAAACACTGGAAAAAATTCTTGCCAAAAAGATGATGTGGTTTATATCTAAAAATAAACTTATCAGCCCCAACCAAACTGCATTCAAACAACAGCACAGTACCATTCACTCCCATTGCATATCCATCATTACGCGTCAGATACCCTTTCAACCAGAAATCACGGAACCATCCTGGCTAATGATTTCGAAAGGGCATTTGAGCGCGTTGGAGTGCACACAGTACTGGAGCAACTTTCCCGGTGGGAGGTTGGTCCTAAGACCTTCAACCTCGTGAAGGCTTTCATGACGAAGCGATCCATTCGTGTTAGAGTTTATAACACCTTAACTAAGTTCTATAAATTACACAACGGTATACCACAAGGGTCTCCACTATCGGTAGTTTTGTTCACGATTGCCTTCAACTCCCTCAATAACATAATACTAAAACATAAGAAAATACAACTCTCCGCGCGCGCGGACGATGTCATTATCTTTAGTAACTGCAAAAATACAAATTTACTCTTCCTTA